TAGTTCCAGCAGACACCTCAGCGCCAAGATGGTTGTCGAGAACCTTGTGCAGGGTTGACTCGACGGGGAAACCGGTGTGGAGGAAGTGTTTGTAGAAAGCCTTCTTTGAGTCCTGCGTGAAGATGCGTGCAATACCGGAGGTGTCGAACTGCGGGCGACCAGCACGACCGAGCATTTGCAGAACATCTGTCAAGTCCATGTCCCGATAACCTTCGATCTTAGCATCGAAGAACTGTGTGCCTTTGACCACGACAAGATGCGCCGGAAGGTTAACACCCCACGCAAGAGTACTAGTTGCCACAAGAACTTGGATCTTGTTGTTGGCAAAGAGTTCTTCTGCCAGCTGGCGGTCGGATTCAACCAAACCAGCATGATGCAAACCGATACCAAAGTTGAGAGCTTCTCTTAAAGCATCATCTTTCACTCGCGTGAGGTTCAACTCCAGATCATCTTCAGACATTCGTACGAACCGACGAGGATTATCCTCCATACCGCAGTAGTTGATCAAATCCTTAGCAGTCAGACGAGTTTGTCGGCGAGAAGCAACGAAGACGATGACTGGCTTCTCTGGTGAGTGATTCTTGATCGCGAGGAAAGTCGGACGATTCATTGACTGCATCAAGGGACAGAAACCACGCTGTTCAGGGAAACCATCGATGAAAATCTCGAGGGGAACCGGGCGAACTGAGTGACGGAAGTTATACAGACCTTCCTTGACACCAAGCCAGTTGGCTAGATCAGAAGCATTGGCACAGGCAGTGGACATGCCCATCAGTCGAACAGATCCTTTGGATTGGGAAGCGATATAGTTCATTCGGGAAACAATGATTTCCAAAATAGGACCACGATCACCACCGAGCAAGTGAATCTCGTCAATAATCACAAGGCTCACTTTCCTGACGTAGTCACGGGTCTGCCAACTACGTGAGATACCGTCCCATTTCTCAGGTGTGGTGATAATAATATCGGCGTCCCGAATCGTACGTGTGTCAGGTGTATTGTCACCGGTCAACTCAACAAGCTTCAGACCCATCTGCCTGGTGAGACGCTTCCGCCAATCTTGAACTCGTTCACGGACCAAGGCCTTCATGGGTGCAATGTAGACAACCTTGGAGCCGGGCTTCTCACGGAAAGCCCACCACATTGCCAGCTCAGCTGCAACAGTCTTTCCACTACCAGTTGGAGAACCAAGAAGAACGTTGGCTGGTGTGTGGTAAAGGAGATGGAAGATCTGTGTCTGCATAGGGTTGAAGAATTGGAAGCGTTGCCCATACACTTCCTCAAGAATGGGATTCTTAAGAGCCGATACAGGAAGTGGCTGGAGATTGAGTAGGTCAGTATATACACTTTCAGTGTCCGGGCGAATGAGGTGCTGGAAAGAAACCGGGCTAACGGTTTCAGCACCCAGCCAGCGATCAGAGATCACACGAATGTAGATTTGGCTGGGAAGGGGATCAGACAGCGGAATAGTGAAATTGAGCTCATGATCAGCATAAAGCTTCTTCCGGCTTAGGATGAAGTACTCGTGATGATAGATTTCCGATGTCTCCGAGTTCTCGACCCAGACCCAGAAGGATTCGGATGCTCCGTGGTGACGATCATTCCAGGTGAACTCGGGGTAGATGGAAAGACGAATACGAAGTACATCGCGGTTAAGCGGCGCAATCTCAGTCTCAACACTCAGAGTTGGGAAATTGTCCAGGAGCTTGGACAGTGTGTTGCCCATGCGATGGTTATGAACGAGCTGACCGATCTCCGTAGGCTCCATTTCTTTCATCGACTCGATGGAAGTAGTTGGAAGCTTTTCATCAAGGTTACGTAGGATCGGCTGAGGTAAGTCGAATTGACGGAAAGGGTGATCAAAGGGCCAGATCTGTTTCTCAATGGATTTGCAAAGAGACAACAGAACCTGGCATTGATAGCCCCAGCGACGATTCAACGCAATCATGAAGAGAGCACGGCAGATACGTGCCGCGTTTTGAGCAACGTATCCAGTATCGGAGGCTAGAGCAAAGTCCTCAATCTTGGCGCGAGAGATATAGGCTTGCAATAAGAGGTTTGTCTTTGCGTGTGGCGTGTCGTTTCCTCCGGCAACTTCAGTCTGTGCAACTTCGTCCCGCAGTCGCTGAAGCTCTTTTGACTCGCTGTCTCTGGATTGGATATTGTCGAATTCTCCACTCATACTGATCATTTTGAGTACATCTGCCTCACCAGAGCGGGGACGCATCATGTCGTTGAAAATCTCAACACTGGTTTGCAGTACATAGTATTGACTTGCAATGCGACCAACGTCCTTGGCTTTGAGATCTTCAGTCTTGTCGTTGAAGATGATCATCTGACTCTTTTGTAGCACCCGTGCTGCTTGCAAGATCAACTGCCGCCGCCTTTGGACCAGCATTGGGTCATCGCGTAACTCGGCAAACTCGATTCCGTAGTTTCTCGGCTCGCGTTTCATGCGCACATAGAGGTAGGAGTAACCAAGCCATTGCACAGCCTCTGGAACAGATGTGACTGTTCCGAGCGATATTTCAGCATTCAAGTTATCCACAAGTCGACTAGAGAAGCGTGACTCAATGGGCTGCTGCGCAGTGACAGCAGACAGGTAGTGGCTCAACTTGTCATGAGTAGTACAGATAAATCCAATACCGGTGTCCTGGAATTGTGGACGACCTGCACGACCAAAGATTTGCATGACGTCGAGAATGCTCAGGTCAATGAATTTACCCTCTTGGGGGTTATACAACTGAGTGCCTTTGATAACAACCGCGGCTGCGGGAAGGTTGACACCCCACGCCAAAGTGGCAGTACAGCAAAGTACCTTGATTAGACCTTCTGAAAACATTCGTTCCATCAGATTGCGGTCGCTTCGCGTCATTCCGGCATGATGGGTTCCAAATCCGCTAGCGAATAGGTCACGCAGTTCACGCGCACGTGCGTGCTTCATATCACGAAGGCCATTGGAATAATTTTCGTGATCATGGCAGCTGAATAAATCCTCTCGGCCCTCCTCCGCAGCTAGTTGCATAAGCATCCTGGCAGTCATCACGGTATCTTTGCGCGAGTGGACGAAAACCATAACTTGGTGGCCTCTTTCCATCATGTCGCGAACCTTCTCGTAGGCGACAGAGTCAATGTTGTCACGAGATTGTTTGGAGCCGGGCTTTCCTTTGACACCGATGAAGTGTTGCTCAAGAGGTACGGGTCGGAAAGATTGATCGAAGAAGAACATGCCGGCCATTTTGTTCACTTTCAAGAAGTCGGCTACATCAGTATAGTTCGGAAGGGTGGCCGATAGACCAACGATACGGATCAGGGATTGTGTGCTTTCGACCTGACGTTGGGTTCGAGCGACCAAGGATTCGATGACCGCTCCTCGCTCATCGTGCAACATGTGGACTTCATCGATAATGAGAAGGCGGACCTTTTGAACAAGCTCTGTGTCTCCGGTGCTTTTTCGCGTTACAACATCCCATTTCTCAGGGGTAGTAACGATGATCTGGGTTTCAACGATCTCACGCTTGGTCAACTGCATATCACCGGTCAGTTCGCGCACCTTGATCCCCAACCAGGCTAGACGTTTCCCAAGTTTCTCCGTCACCTCAGCAGCCAAAGCCTTCATGGGAGCAACATAGACAATCTTAAAGTCGTCAACCTGGACAGTGAATTCAGTCGCTTCCGGGTTTTCCAACGGATTGGGGGTTGTGTTCTTTCCCACAGCATTGAGAACGGTCAACATGGCGGCATCCGTTTTACCCGCGCCAGTCGGCGCACAAATAAGCATATTTTCGTTGGTTTTGTATGCAACATCGTAGAGCAAGCTTTGCATACGATTGAGAGATTTGTAACCCTTGAAGGTACCCCGACAAAGGCCATCCATCTCAGCGACCTCCACCAGTCTCCGGCCCTTTCCAAGAGTTCCGACCTTCGACGCCGGGATCGCGAATTCAGTGTACTTCGGTTCCTCGATCTGCTCACTACCCAGAGGCAGTCCATATTTCTTTCCACTAGCAGAAAGTGTATTTCCGGAGGTGTGTTGCTTGAAAACATGCGGGTAGGAAGGCTCCGATCGGGTTTGGGCCGGCATCAACGCTGCATTCTTATGTTCGAAGTCGCGCTGTTGTAGAGCATGCTCTCTCTCCGTTCGTGTTTGGAGTCTACCTGCCATGAGCCCATCTGTCTGATATTCTAAACGGGGTCCCTTGTCCGATAGAATTTCTCCTCGGTGTGCAATAAGCTCAATAACCAGATCCAGGTCATCGAACCCAACAACCTCAGCCAGAGACATTTGTAGCTCATCGTCGTTGCTGTCAGCAGCCAGGGTGGCGATGACTTGCTGAGCAAGTTCTGTCGCATCCATAGTTGAGTTTCGCATGGCCAAATCCTGGCACTTGTCTTCTAGCCAAAACCGATTGTAGGAAGACCCTGGTGCAAGATGAAGTCCGTCGAGTCCATCAAAGTCGTCCAGATCGTCGGAAGATTCATCGTCCGAGCTGATGATATCCCACACATCGTCATTTGTCCCTGGCGACGAATAGTCGTCATCAATGTCCAGATCAATATCACTTCCATAGCTGATCGATTCATGAGGAAGGTGTTGAGGGAGCTTCAGATCAGCAATAGCCTGGCGCATTGCCGCTAGTTGTGACAGCCATTGCGACTCGGTAGCTGCGATGTTTTCCATGTTGACCTAGTTATGAAGAAGTGATAGGCCAACCAACGAAGAATGTAGGGAATGAGGGGATAAGCCGAGCCAAAAGTAGTTATAGGGCCGGCCCGCAGGGCTCAGTCGGTCGCATGACAAGAGCGGTGTACTTTGAATGCCTCAGGCCTCAATACAGAGGGTCCAGTGCATCATTGCTATCGGCAACTCAGGAGCCTGTTTTAGACTCAACACTTGTCACTCTGCTTTGCCACTTCAGTTTATCATACGGCTGACCTCCTACGATACGAAGTTGCCTGGTTCTTTGACACCAGAGCATTTCCTTGGTCAGCACCTATTACGAGCCAACGCCCCACTACATTCGAGACCTACTTGCCTCCTTGTCCTTTTGCGGACAACCACGCTGTCACCATGAAGATTCTTTATATGGGCGTATGTTTGATTGCAGCTTATATTTAACATGGTATATGCCTAGACACGGTACTTATCTATCAATATTACAGGTTTTCCGGAATGACACCCAGCCAGCTCTCCAGCTATGCGGGGAAAAGGATCTCAGCAGGTAGTTCCACATGCGCGCCCTGTAACTGACTGGAACGTTTCGCTAATTATTCCTAGCTTTTCGCGCTTCACTCGTCAGAAGTATGCACACTCATCCTCTCTCAGTCCAACACGGCTAGGTCACTAACCACCAACCGCTTCACAGCTACGATGAATTCCTGATGCTCTTCACCCGAACGGTCGCCGAGAAGACAAAGGCAGGCCAACGGCAGGATATTGAAGAGAAGGCTTACACATTCCACGCCTACGGGCGGACAGAGGGTGTCTCCGGTGTCATTGTTACAGATGGGGACTACCCTGCCCTAGTGGCCCACCAGCTTTTGGGCAAGATTGTGGACGAGTTCCTTGCCAAATACCCACGCACTGCCTTCTCCGACCCCTCTTTGCGTGAGAATGCGTGCCCCATGCCGCAGCTCAAGGAATATATTGTCAAGTACCAGGACCCGAGCCAGGCTGATAGCATCATGAAGATCCAGCAGGAGCTTGACGAAACCAAGATTGTCCTTCACAAGACGGTATGCTCTTATGTCCTTATGATCTGACTGTACGTGCTAACCATTTCTAGATTGAAAGTGTTCTGGAGCGCGGTGAGAAGATTGACTCCCTAGTTCAGAAGAGTGATGGACTGTCAGCCCAGAGCAAGATGTTCTATACCCAGGTATGCAAATTGGACGTTGCCTTCATCTGAATTTTCTAACACAACCAAATCCAGGCCAAGAAGCAAAACTCTTGCTGTGTTGTGATGTGATGTGATGTGAACGGGGATTGGCAGTACATGGTGGTGTATTCGATTATGACTCCTTGTCCTTGGATTTAACTTACTCGTGTAATCAGACGCCGAAACGATGCATTCCTTTGCTAATGTATTTGCTCTCTTTCTTCGATGCCTATATTTGTACCTAGTTCTTCAATTAGGAGGATGTCTTTGACTGTTTTGTGAAGTCTTTTTCCATCGAGGATCATATGAACTATGTTTTTGAGTAAGCTCTAATAAATGGGCTGCTAAAAGCTACTGTAACGGCAAAAGGTCATGGAGTATGAGAAATAAAAGTAGATGGCGATCAAGTATGGAGTAGTTATGCATAGCTAATTAAGCTTAAGACTCTGGAAACACCTCTCCACCTAAGCAGGGCTGGCGGGCCCACCCGCTTGAAATCTAGATAGGGATATATGTGAAATATTACTTAAATCATTACAGCTAATTCCGTTCTAGGTGTCCTCTCTTAGCAGCTTTTGTAGCTAGAAACAAACAAAATGATCTGATGAGGGGGCAGTCTCAGAAACAAAGGTCCATGATTGATTATTCCTTCCACAGGACCAACACGCTCATTTGCGGATTATTACACAGATTTCGCCATCCCTCTTCGTTTTTGCCCATACCTAATGCCAACTTCCATTCCTCTTCCAGAAACTCGCACTCCCGCCACTCCAGTTTACCCCCCATTCCTCCCAGCCTTGCGGCCTCCTCAAACACGCTCTTCTTTAGGTGGTATGCCCAAAAGTCAACGCCTTCAGCGGATGAATTGGAACCAGGAGGGGGCTCGACGATGATATACTTACGGTATCCAAGTCCGTTCTCGAGTTCCTGCGAATACTCAAACCTCACACCGGTTGGGGGCGGTGGGTCAGAGTTCGTGGCAAAAGATGCGACGTCGTTCGTGGGATACGGGCAAACCCCGACAAACACGCCGGTAGATTTGAGGTTAATAGAGATAGAGCGGAACATACAAGTCAGCTGCTCTAGATCCTTTGCATAGTTAAGGAATCAAACACCAGTGGCGACGTCGAAGCCTTTGGAGCCAGCAACTGGGTAGCATTGAGGTTGGAACCCATCGTCTTGGAGGAAGCAGGCACGAGAGGCAAAGGAAGTTGCCGAGAGACGGGCGACTGCACCAGCAAGGATAGCATGAGAAATATCAATGCCGATTAGGGATGCGGCGCCCCAAGACAGAAGAAGGTGGGAATAGAAACCAGTGCCACAGGCGAAATCGATCACAGTGGTATGAGGCTTCTGGAGAAAAGGCTCGACATGTTTCCGGAAATTAAATTGTTCCACGCGGTTGAAAAATGTGGTTTTAACCATGTCATACTGTGTTCCAATGGAGTCGTATTGGGACATCTCGAAAATTCTGGTATTGATTGAAATTGTTTAAAAATCGGATCAAGACCCTTGAAATATATTGTATGTTGTACCCCAAGCAAGTGTCAAGAAACGCTGCATATTTATAGGCGGGTGGAAACCGAGGAGAGTGACAAAGTGGAAGAACTACCTAGGTAGCCCTGGAGTATATGTAACCTTGGGAGACCTTCAGCAGGTGGGGACGAAAGTTAACTTTAGTAACTAACTAACTTAGTTATTGCTTGGTCACTCCTTTATTCTCTCACCTCTCACCTACATGTCAGTCCAGACTCAACGATATAAATCATATAATCACTTTTGTCGTTCTTTTTCGGTAACAGGGATCTTTTGAATGCCTCGAACAGCTCTGTCTCTTGTGTTGTCGCAAGTCTACCCTGTTTTTATTATTAGCAACCCATGTAATTGGTTGTTGGCTTGACAGCTGAAGTGCAAAATCAAACGGTGCAACTATGATGGATGACAACCGAGGATGTATCATATTTTCTTGGATTACCTTGTAAATAATTTGGTTTCGACAATTCATTCTCCCCAGTTTAGGTGTCGTGCATGCTTGATGCTATCCGAGGTGTTGTAATACCAACTGGGATCTTCAAGGGTCCAGTCATCGCCCTATAAATTCCACTATAAATTCCACCGTACCACCTTCACTTATACTTCTGATAATTCAGTCTCCTAGGTTAACAAAATCCTTACAATGACACAATATGATGCACTTGGGTCCTCTTACGACGTTATAGAAACCCTTCCTTTCAAAATCCTGGAACTACATAATGTGTTCCTCGCCATTCGCACTCTTCTCCACTCCGGTATGACGGTTTTCGACGTTGCGTGTGGCACAGGCTACTACTGCTCCCGTCTTCTCTCCTGGGGCGCCAGCTCGGTAACGGGTATTGACATTTCGTCTTCTATGTTATCCGCCGCTTCTGTCCGGCTATCATCAAGCATCGACTCTGGCTGCGCTCGTTTCGTGCTTGCCGATGGCAAGCAGCCCCAATCATTTACACCCGACCATCGGCCCAACTACTTCGATGTTGTCTTTGTGGCGTATGATTTCTGAATTACGCTCAGAACAAGACGGATCTTACAGCCATGTTCGCCAATATTGGCAAAATCTCAAACCAGGCGGCGTGTTCTTGGGTGTTGTGCCGCACCCTAGCGAGAATATGAATCAACGTGCCAAGGCGTACGGTAAGGAACCATTGAATCGCTTGTGGCCACGGAATGAGTATACTAGGGAGTTGGAATCTGGAGAGGGGTGGGACTTGCATGTCTTTTTGAATGATGATGGGGTAGACTTTTCAACATGGCATTTGAAGAAAGAGGTATATGAGCAGGCCGCAAGAGACGGAGGAATGAAGGGGAAGTTAGAGTGGAAGCGGGAGATATTCCCAGGAAATGAGTGGAAGTAACTTATGGATTGACAGGGGAAGATGAGTGGAGGGTGACAGAGGAGAATCCGCATTTGGGGATTTTGGTGGTATGGAAGGGCTGAGGGTGAAGATTCCCGCCCACTAGTTGGCCAAGATATACAAGAATTTGGATCCCGATATTATAGTACTAGTTACCTAGTAATTTTCCAATACTCCTTCGATCTTTAAGCTTGCGTGCCGAAAATGACCTTTAGCACTCTCTTCTTTTGCACCGGCCACATCAATACACCACCCAAGATATATATCAAAGCCTTGATCGGGGTCCATTTCATAATAGCTCCAGTTAAGTTTAATAAAGGCTTTGAGCCCGGCAAAAAAACTCTTCAATGGGATTCAGGTCCGGCGAGTTGGGTGGCAGATAGATTAGCTTTGCGCCATCCGTTCTAGACGATGAAACGATGCGTTGTTCATAACCAGGACGGATTTAGGTTCGGGCCGTCTTCCGTAGTGCTAAAGAACATACCGCACTGACCCTTCAGCTCAACATTGAGTGCTAAAATCACGACCTCTTGATACTTGCACTTCACCCCTTTCATTTTCCGACTCCTCCCGCGACCTAAGAACCAACTCGATAGGCGGGACCACATCCCTGCGACCACGTCTGCATATGACACCTCCTTCTATATAAGGATGTCGCCTGAATCAGACCACATGAAGAAAATCACACCAACTGGGAGTTTCGTGAATACTCCCCCCACACCCCCGCCTTCAGAGGAGAAAAATTTGTCGAGCAGTGCTCAAAGCGTGCTGAACTGTTTCACACTCCACCGTGAAGGTCTAAGGCTACAATCTTGGCGGCAACACCGACTCACTCCGGACCAATATACGGAGGTTTTACATACACTAGATGGTGACGAATCTCTTCGGGGTTACGTAGAAGACAAAATAAGGTAAGTACTGTCAATCTTTAGGTATATTGAAGGCATATTTATTAAGTTGTATTATAGGCTCGACTACGACCCCAGACGGTCCCGTCTCACTATCCGAATGCCGAGTCCGCTACATGATTTGTTTTGTGCCGAGGTAGTCTCTAAAATTTTGAATCAATTGACAGAATTACGAAAGAGTGATGAAGCCTTCGGTGATTTTGCGAGAAAGATCAAACATTTATCGATATCTAGAATCCGCCTGCCGAATAATACGAACAACAATAATACGAACAGCAGAGAGCTAACTTATTCCGAGCGGTGCCCAGATGCATCCTTTATACACGAACATGCCAAATATCCCGGTGTTATCATAGAAGTGTGCTATGCAGAAAAAGTTCGAGCTGCTGCGGACTTAGCAGAGGATTACATCCTCGACACCAATGCGAGCGTGAACGCTGTGATTGCCCTAAATATTGAATATAAAGGATCTAAAAAGGCGGCCATATCTGTTTGGCGACCGCACAAAATAACCGTGGATGAGGTAAAGGAACTCGAAGCAAAGACCGTGATCGAGATGATGGTACGTTCTTTTCCAGTCGCAGTCCTAAGGAACTGGCACTGACCGACGATTTGCAGCCTTTTCGAACGGAGTCTGGACCTCCAGTCGAAGAACCTAAACAACCGTCGCTGCAGCTTTCGCTCGGGGACTTTGCCCCCAAGAGCATCTCACAGAAATACCCCGATCTCGATCAAGATATCGTTATCTCATCGAGGGAGCTCTGCGACTTTATTTCATCTGCCGAAGCAGAACATCAGAAACAGCTGCTAGACCAAGGCGTCGATGAGCCATTGTCACCAGGCACGCGAAAGCGTCGTCGGGTTCCCCTGAACAGCTTAGTTCAAAAGAAGAATTGCCGCAAAACGCAATGAAACGCGGTCGCCTTACGCGAGATTCTTCCGGACTCTTTGCCCGCGGATCTGAAAGTTAAGCTGTGGTGTGAATAGCGTTATAGCCCGGTATTTCAATACTTCCTCGTTTGGTTTTTGACCAACTCAGATCGCCGTGGAGCTGTGATATCGAGGATTGCGATAACACTTGTGTTTGCGTATACGGAGAATATATACTTTGCTGTTGTCATCTGCGCCAAACACCTAGAGACTAAATATCATACACGTCTTTAGTCTTATTTGACGCATGCACTTCCTAAGCCGACATCATTAAGATCATAGATTATGATCGTTAGTGTTTGATGTGGTCTAATGTATATTCAGTTTTATCATATTATCACAGTAAGAAGTAGGGATTCAGGAGATATTATACTGATGGTAGTATTATAATGCCATATTTTATGCAAAATTTCATACAAAATCACCCCAAAAAGACCTAACTTGACCATGAATTCGCACCTACGAGGATTACTGAGTATCAGTATGAAGAGATATATATATTGGATCTATACCAAAATATCAATTGTAGTAGCTCTAATGGTACCCCTACTTACTATATAATTCCCTAACAAAAACAAGTACCCCTTGTACGTCTAAATCTTTTAGTCTTAAAGTATGACGAGATATAATATGATAACAACTTATTATTTGTCGAAAGTATCTTAATCTGTCGGTAATAAGAGGTGTTGGCTCAAATTAACCTTTAGTACTTACTCAACTGGTAAGATACTATCAACTAGCCTATGTGGAGTGATTTACTTAGGCTATCTCTATAACACAATTCGCGGCTGAGAGAATAGGTTGCTGAGAATAATTAGCTAAAGCGATAGTTATTCGTATTAGAACTAACGCGCGTATTGCCCCTATTTTGATAGGCTATTAACGGATATATAGCCTATAGCCTACCGGCAGATAGTGCTAAGGTTAAATATATGGGTTTACAATCATATGACGGTACTAAGTATAGTGCTAAGCGCTTAATATAGGTGCCTACCTAGGTACCGGTTTAGGGCCGAGAACCCCTATGATTATATAGCATTCTGCTAGCTAAAAAAAATATCTATTATAATCATCCTTACGGAGATTATATATAATAAAAGAATTCGGTTTAACGCCTAGAAATGAAGAATATACTATTTATTCTCGAAAATAATCAGGGTTGCGTGCTATTTTATAGTGATCCTATTTATAGATACTACGAGTTTTAGGTAGGCGGTATGGTAATATATTGGCGGTGAGTTGAGTGGGGCTGTAAGGGGTGTAAGAAACTTTATAACTACTAGTATCTAACTAGTTACTGACTAGGCTGCCGAGGTATCTTTTGTACCTAGATATTGGTAAAAGATACTTAGGTTCTAGATTTTGCGTTTGTTGGGAATTTTGTGTTTGCTAGGGCGTACTAATTACCGGTAGATGGGCGTTTGGTATGGCTAGTTAATCATTCAATATTATATATACTATATCTACTGTAATACAGAAAGGATCGGTATTGACTCCCGTAATGATGTTAGGCGTCGCGGAAGGTTATATAATAGAATTGACTGTTATATTTGAGCTGAGGTGAAGCTACCGTGTCCTATCTGCCATCCGACTGGTCTACTATATAAATTCGAAGGGATCTCCTATATTTTCATTACTATAATCAGACAAATCGTAATTCCGAATATTCTATTTAAATCAATTTATATTCCTAAAATGTAGGAACTAACCTATAACGCGAGATAAGTAAAGTACTGAGCTAAGTTGCCGGTTAGAAATTAATTAAAAATATACAGCCGCCCGATGCTATCGTTAGAGATTGTCTATTTGTATAAGCTGGTCGGTATCCTGAATAAGACAATTATTAGCCTACGTATCGAATTCCTACCTAACGGATCAACTCCCTTATATCGCCACAGTAGTGCAAATATTTCTGCTTATGTCCTTAAAGGGATAGTCCTTAATAAAATAAACGAAGATCCTATAGAAACGATCGAAGAGGGCGGAACCTAGTTTGAAGTACCCGGCTGCTATTACCGTATTAGCGATAATACAAGTAAGACCGAGCTAGCGACGGTTATAGCTACTATAATCACGGATACTAAACTATTTGAGAGGTATGGAATGGCGGCTCTGATCGAGATTGATGCGGAGTACCGGAAATGAGAATAGCGGAGGATTGAAGCGATTAATATTTGCAAATTGTTAAATCACAAATTTCACAGTATAATTAGGGACTCAAAATTTGTAGGGATATTATTAGTAAAGGGTAAACCCCCACGAGGGTTATTGTAAAATTTTAATTGGACTGGGAGCATCCGTATTAAAAAGGCAAAGAAGTCAAAGTTGGAGTCGGGTAATATATCGAATGCCGCGAAGTCAGGTGAAATTGGATCCGGGAGGGGTTAATGGGGGCCAAACTAGTGGGGGGGATCTTTTACTAGGGATAATAATTCTTGGGCGATAATTCTAATTTTACGATAGGTCCGTTTGCCTAGGGTCCAATATTCACTTAGACGTTTCAAAGGCTTCAAAGTACCCATAGTCAACCGAATCTTCTCCCGGCTCTTAGCCCGTCGGTCCCTAGAAAAGATAAACCTATAAGCCGATAGATATATAATGGTCACGTTCCTTCGCGTTTTTATATTTTAGATTTTCTGACGGGGCTAATAGAGCATAGTGTGATACGGATTCGATTGTACTATAAGTTAACCCTAACAGCGGCTAATGAATTTTAACGGTGTATCTAGAATTGGGTTAGACATATAAACAATAGCTAAGGAAGTTATAGATCTCACGTATATATAATAAAGAATGCTTTAAACATTACCTTATCAAACGATCTATCCGGACGAATTAAATGCCTCTTTTCCGGAGAAAGAAGAGAGTACTATACTCGAATACTAGTGTTAGCGCTAGCAGCTAGTATAGTGTATAGATTATCTGTATTGTTGCCTAGGGATAATGCCTAATTAATTCCGCGGGTTAGGCTAATAAGCTCCGTATAGGACGAAAAATTAGTTTTATCTTCGCCGAGGAATTCCTTATTCTTATAATCTTCTAGGGAGCGTAGTATTATGGCGTAGCGTAAGTAGATAGGCTTACGACCGTCGTAGCGAATATATTTATAGCGATATTGTACGTATAAAAGGGAATTCCGTGTCCTACGCTTAGTATATTTGTTCCTATCTAGTAGGGTCTCTAATATAGCTTATATAGATTTGATAATACTTGTGGTGAGAAAGGAAATAAGAGTTATATCCCGTAGATGGTTAATCCTAGATTAGTCATATATTACAGCCCGGGATCGACCTCGGGAGGCTACTTCTAGGGCTTTCGGAGCCCGCGGTATATAGATCTAGGTACTAGGTATTTGTCTATAAGAATAAATATCCCTAAATAGATCTAAATAGAATGACACTAGCCACAGCTTACTATAGTATATTGACCCAACTATTCCCTAGCGATGATAAAACTTTTGGTAGAGACCCGCCCCGAGAGACCCGCTTAGAGAGACCCGCTTAAAGAGACCCGCTCCGCGCGAAAGAGCGGATCCTCGGAATTCCGGGGAATTCCGGCTAACTACGGTCGAGTATTATATTCTATATAGTAAATTTTATCTAAAAATTAGGGTTAAAATGAAGTCTAGGACGCTATATTTCGCCCTTCGGGGTATATCCCAAAAGCTTCCTAAGGTATATATTGCTCTAGAATTGATATAATATAGATAATGAATCTACGCTAACTTTTTTGTTTTAGTTTTATCCCTTCTACGTTCTATATCGACGACTTAGGGTAGGGGGTTTAAGTAGGTTTTTAGTTCTTAGACGAGTAGGTCGTAGGTTCGAGCCGATATTGGTACGAACTTTCTTTTTCCTTACTTATTGGCTCGACCCTAGGAGGTTATTGTATCTATCTATAGATTTAATTTACTTTAGATATTCTGCCTACCTACCTAGGTAGGTATTAGGATCTAGGCTTATAACCTATTAAAGGCTATAGGTAAGTAGATAAGATGGAGGACTATAATAGATTGTATTGTGGGATCACTAACGATGATGATGATGATGATGATGATGATGATAATGATAATGGAGGAAAGAGAGAGAGAACTACCTAGGTAGTCTATCTATAGATATAGGGAGATATATAGAAGTATGTGATCCTAGGCTACGTAAGAGAGTTCAATAGTAGGTACTCCCTATATGTACCTAGGTATGCATTCTATGATTATTCGACCTATCAACGAAAGAAGCAACACTGTATTTCTTAACACAATGGGGTATATAGTTAACTGAAAATATATAGAGAAGATTAGCATAGCCCCTACACTAAGGATTGTTTCTCTATTCTAGGCTGCTTACTATGAGGAGGTAAAGCCAAGACCATAGTGGAGTAGTACTCGGTATAAACCCGGCAAGGGACCCTACAAAAGTGTAGGATATATACTTTCAATTCAGATATATAAGGTTGATAACTATAAACTTGTTCTAGTTATCTATAGTGCCTTTACTCGTCGGGATATCCTAGTCAATAACAATGAGAGAACGGATATAAATTAGATTCACAAGTTCTTTGCTAAATCATATTAAACCTAGACCGGTCTAGAAAGACAAGTGATATCGGTGTTTTCGGTATCTTATTGCATATTTTCTTGGACCCCCTTGAACCATTAACAATTTGTGGAAAGAACAATCACGCTTTCAAGGGTAGATGAGCATCTTCTATTTCGGCTCTAAGGGTCACATCGCTATGCCAACCTTTAAATTCCCGAGTCCGTAACTTCAACGAGAACATGCGATCAATCTCTATCGGTATCCGCCCTTTTATCTCTAGGATAGCCAGCCACACTACAACGACTGCAACAGCGGCGAATCCTGCCATGACGAACCCTGTTTTCGCCCTCAAGTTTCCTTGGTCTGCATTGTAGATATATGGCAAGATGATGGCGAACACTGTAGTTCCGACACCGCTCGTAAACCACCCAATACCTTGGCTTTTGGCTCGGAGTTGCAGCGAAGATGCCTCGGCGGCGACGACGTGAGACGTAGGCCACGATCCAAAGCCAGAGACCATAGTAATAATCATCATGCTAACCGCTGTATACCTAGTACTAAGTTAGCTCCTCATCCTAGATGTCCAATATAGTGTCTTACCATATCGTCACAGTTCCGTTGAAGATCCCTGCGATTCCTGTCGCCAACCATAGAACCGTAACAATGCCCAGAGTGAGTAAAATGAGGAACCTTCTGCCAAAGGCATTCAGTGCCCACAGACTTATGACATTCGCAATCAGGCCCAGTCCAATACCCAAGATCAAGAATATCAAGCTGTTAGATGAACTCATGCCCACAACCTGCATAAAGTACGAAGCATTTGCCAGCAGCTGAAGTCCAAACATCTGGGGTATGATGTTTGCAAACGCCACAACCAAAGTTCTGCGCTTGTTGACCCCTCGGAAGCAGTCCAGATATGTATGCGTTGCGCTCTCCTCGTCTTCTGCTGAAATTGACGCCCGTAACTCGTCGATTACAGATTGCGAGTTGACAAGATTCGTATGAAGCTTCTTTTGTGCCTCAAGAGCTTTGTCTGTTTTCCCCTTTCTCAGCAACCAGGTCGGACTCTCTGGTAAAAACATTGATACAACGAACGGGATAGCTGAGAACGGCCATTGCGACGCAAAGCAAATCCGATAGGATTGTGCGCCTGTATGCTTGAGCGAAGTATAAACCACAATAGACCCAACCAGTTGTCCGAGAAGCGTGAAGATCGGATAGAATGCAATGATCGGTCCTCGAAGAACAACAGGGAGTACCTCGGACATGTACGTCTGTGTAACACAGAGAAGAATGCCAATACAGATTCCCTGGAACAGTTTACCGGCGAAGAATACCCCTCGACGAGTTTCTATTTCGTCTGGTAGATCAGAGATGTAGCATATCGCGACCGCAATGGTGGATAGTAAACTGCCTATCGTGAGTGTGATCCGACGCCCACGACGATCTTGATAGTAACCACCGAGGATGGCGCCGAACATCAAGCCGATGCAACTAGACACGTTCCAAAGGGAAAGCCACATGGAAGGGATAATATATTTTCCATTGAGTTCCTGGCCGAAAACAAGTCTCCCAAGTGTCAGCAGCGACGCATTCTAACATCTTGGGGGGGATTGTATTTACTGGAATTGAGGCATTGCAGCCACTGTCCCCACAATGACAAGGTCATATCCATAGAGTAGAATTGCCGAGCTTAGTGCGAGACAATAACCCACAACTGTGGGGAATTTCTTGATCGATTGCCAGAGTGGTGTGTGTGGTGTCTTTCCGCCTGCCCTAATCTCATTTGTGCGATCAACGACATTCATACCACCCTCATTGAACTCTTTGGTAGATTGTGTCTCTGTGAGAATCATCATGTAAATATTCTCAGGGGTGATGACAAGGGAAGTCGCAAGGGGGATGAAAGGGGAATTTCTTTGTTTTAAATTGGATATAGAATGAATGACCCCTACAAAAACGATAGAACAAAGAAACCCGTATACCAACCTTAAAAGGGGCGAGCAAGGTACATTACATGTAGAATTAATCCCTAGCGTATGCAATATGTGCAACAACGATACGTTATCCTCGAACCGACCTTCCTTGTTTTTGGGTATTTTCTCAGCACTGACCTACAATGTGTCACTAACAAGGATAGGCGGGTGGTTTCTTGATCCTAATTTGGCTGCGACACGTTCCCCGCACGGTTGCCAAGTGATCATCACGCAAAAGAAGACTATCGCTTCGAAGTAGCCGGGGTAATCCATGGCTTCCCGCTACTTTACGATCATGTGGTTGACTGCCGTGTCCGGCATACATACCAGCAGCCACAATAGACGAGGATGGCGCCGATTCGCGACAGTGTCCCTTTCCAAGTACCATTCCATTTTCGATTTATATTAAAGGCAACTCTGCCTCTGAGCTACTCTTGAGAGAATGATCATTTAAGTTTAGGATCGAGAATATGTCGCCAAGAGACTGAACGAACTAGTTGAAGGGAAGTATTGAAAAGAAGCCGAGTCCTGCGCCATGCTTCATACCGCTTCGTCTAGTGAAAATAGCCCAGAATCAATTAGGGCTGCCTACCCTCGCCTGGTCTGGATATGCAGGCTACCGTAGAACGCAATCTCCGTTGATCGCTATGATCCAAAATCCGCCTGGTTTGCCCGAGCCTCACGTCAATACTCTGATACATTACTCGCTTTCATTCTATAGTTCTAATATTACAGATCCTACAGTATCCTTTCTGGTTCTCATCCCTTTAAATCTCTCAGCAAGCTTAATACCGTCAGTCTGAAATAAGCGTAGGGTATGGTTACGTGTTGAATAATGTAAGCAGGATAGTCCTACTATTGACAAAGAAGCTGGCAGTCCATTTCCCGATGCTTTCATCCATATCAGCTAGCTCTCCCTATTACAATCTACTTGGGAGGAAGTACCTGGAATGGCACCTCTAAGAAGGCAAGATGTGAATCATTTCATTTAGGTCGTCTAGTCTGCCTTTCTCTGACCTGTCATAGTTGAGAGTTCAATCGATGCAGATCCTGATCGTGCCTCCTTCATTTTCTCCAGGTCCCTCAGGTGTTGTTTCAATGCAACGATCTCACGTTCCAACTCAGCTGACGAAGCGAGCCGATATTTGAGCTTCAAAATTACAGCTGAAATTAAGAGCAATGCCACAGACGTGAGGTACGCCCACTGACCAACCTGGCTTGGAGTCTCCTCCGACGGTCCATCATTGAAGATTTGGATCTCTATCCAAATGACAAAGGCAACAATGGTAAACGGACTGACTATCATACTGAATAGTATGCCAAAAAGAATTGTGGCGTCAATAAGCACATGGAGAACCGACCTGAGGAACCTGCGGCTGAGTATGTGTCGCATTCGGTGCCAAACAGAGGTTTTGTTATTTGCCGGTCCGGGGTCTTGTTCGTTGTCATCCAGGTTGTTTGATGGCTTCATGGCATCACAAACATCTCCTTTGAAGCTTTTCCAAATATTCTTCCGCTCCTTCCATATGACCATGATCTGCGCCGATGGGATCCGTGATCGATACGGTAGGAATCGGTAAGTTAGGAGGATGCAATTTAGGATCAGACAGAGAATGATCAGACTGTAGATGTATCGTTGCGAGTAAATGACCTTCTTCCAGAAACTATGGGCAGTACCGACGCGGAAGTCTCTATCCTCAGTGGCTGAATGCAATGAGCCTGGCTTTCGTAAAATTTGGGTTGTATTGAAACAGGGATTGAAGCAGATATCCCCAAGTTCGTTCCATCGTGATATGTTCGAAAATGTTTCCCACACGCTGTCGTTCCACGTGGATGTTCTCCATGAGGCTTGCCAGCCGTCATTTGATGTGTCGCTGTAAGGCGCGAGATCAGGAAAGCAAAACATGTACTGGGGTGAGGTTTTGGGTACTCTTGTAGCATAAACGAGTGCACATATAGAGCCAGCCAGCATTAGGGCATTCCAAAGATAAAAGAGAAGGTTGCCCGCTCGATCGTGGGTTAGGATGCGGGACCAGCATTGGAGAGGAAGAAATACGAGATAGCCAGTGACAACGATGGCAAGAACAGCATCCGAGTCAAGCTCAAGTGATGCGGGCGAGACCATAACATGGTCTGTTTCGGTGACCAAATGAGGGAATTCATTTCGTAGGCTGGAGTTGGCAGACAGGTACGGGATATTGACAGGTCCAGGGTCTTGGGGCGGTTGGTAACTTGAAACCATAATGAATGCTTGGATTGCCGCAGTTCCTGCATATGCCGCTGCAGTTCCTAAAAATACATTCATGACCCATCCTGTCCATCGAGTGACACAGGTTGCCAGCAGAAGTGCATAGAAGAGATATCGCGGACAGGAGTTGTATATTGTACTGATTGGATAGAAACAGAGAGTCTCCTGGGCAACAAACAAGGGGGAACCCGTGTCGTAATCCATTGGAGGAAGAGTCGTGGAGAGAGTTGAGTTTTTGAGGTTCATTTTCTGTCAGGCTGCCATTTTCCTTTTTATGTGACTCTCCTCTAGTTTAAGACTGACGTCATACGTTTTCAATCCTTATTTCAGCTTCATGTGTGTGTTCTATTGCAATGAAAATAGAAATAAAAAATAATTAGTATCATGATAATTTTACAGAAAAAATGAATATAGATCCCGACGTAGAAGGGGAAAAAATGAATTATAGGGGAAATATTATGAGGGGAGGAATTACATATGTAGCCAGTATACTTCTACATAGAGTGGAAATACATAAGTTCTGGTCAATCTATGCTACGGCTGGTAGATTTTAGAATCAAACAGTAGTATCTATACAATTCCACGATTTCGAAATCCGCGTACCAGTGCTCCAATTAGAAATATGACCACGACCCCGCCGATACAATCATTCATTGCTTTTGGTCATTGACCTCATCCACGATATACATTACAAGTCTCGTAATGGGACCGCCCCGACGCTTCGGTCTTTGGGCTCGTCTCTTTTCACGCCTTTCTGCCTGGAGACGGCCACCCTCTAGCTCCAGTGTATCTTCTTGTCCACTGTGGAGACTTCGCTGCTGGGTGTACTCTGCGGTGGGTCGAACCTGAAGTGTAAGACCGATGCCCAGGCACACAAAAACAACCACAATCTCTTCTAGGACAGACATCACAAGTTGAATTGTAACATTGCCCGACACCATATTGAATTCACTCTTGTGACCAAAGGAATAGATGAAAGAGTAGACCAATCGCACGAGGATCAAGGGGAGAGAGATTCCCACGGCAAGGAGCAGGCGATGTTCTCCATCCTCTATACTTTGATTCCGTTGCAAAAACAGAAGAAACAGTCCAAACACCCCGATCCAGGTAACAAGGTAGAGGACCAACCCAACTTTCGACTCTGTGGTGACAAGGCCTTGGCCAATATTGGAGTTCGTAGTTGCGCCGACGATACTCAAAATCACCGCAACTAGCGAGATTATGCCAATAACTCGGAATATAATCTGAGGAAGAGGTTTGGCAGTCTTTCGCATAATGGAGTCATTTCTAAGAATGTCGTTAGTTGCAAATCATCAAGTCAATCGCGAGGAAAAGTGTTGCTCACGCTCGTGATAAAAGACCAACGCAAGCCAATATTAATGGCGATAGTCCGAGTGATGTACAAACAGCCCATGCAATGTATAGATTGACATTGGAAGGATAATTAATGGTGGCCAAATAGCATCCTGAGCCAACAATGCGGGCAAGACAAAAGAGGATAAAGAAGAACCACCCTGAGCTCTTGCCGAAGCCATGGTGGAATGCCATCCAGAGAGCAAGGAATAGAGTTGGAGAGTAAACAATGGTCTCTAGGATCGAGATCCCATGCCGATAATCGATGGCCATAATCGCAAGTGAGAATGGATGGAGAGTACTGAAATCAAGAGGAAAGCAGAAAGTTGATTGATGCTTGTGTTATCCTCGATTCATGGGACCCCGTCTGCTATTTAACTCTTCTGATACCATCTCAGCTCGCGAGGCTTTTCTATTTACTCATAAGGCAGTGGAATTGATTTTGTTATCACAGCCACTGCGCCCTATACAAATAGGGTAAGCATTGCGGATACTCCACTCTAATAGATCATTGGCCAATCGTATGCACTAAAATACATCTTGTATACTGAATTCCGTTTAGCGCATCGGCTAGGCTTGCTTCCAATGTTAAGCTTCCTAGCTAAGCCTCTCTGGATGCCGAATATTATGACAATCTGACTGTATCGCATCTCCGTGCGGCTGTAAAAGTCGAACCGCGCAAAGGATCCACCAAATGCGAAGATTTCGACTTTCTTGGCGGCCTCTTCTTCTCGGGCATCCTAGCGCTGTCGCTGTGGCTCGTCATCACGGTACGAGTACATCATACCCCGTTCCAGGGTTTGCCATTCACAGGTAAATTTAGAAAGGGTCATGATATCTTTCACAGTTGATGTAGTATATAATGGCATTTCGTTTATCTCAGTCGGACTGAGCACACCGCGACATTTGACGCTATGATGGTCAAGATTGACAAACTTTTTCTAACATTGCGGGTCAGCTGCATATACTAGGTTTAGGCTTTCTACTTGCTCTCAACCCTGAGATAGAACGAGGCTGGAAACTTTGGGTTCCGACGTGGTATGTATGTCCCACATTGTGAGGGGTAGAGTGGGCAGTCGCGAGTTTCTGATGTGTTAAGGTAATAATGGTTTCAGATGCACGTAGTCCACTGTACTCATACGGCGATAATTTCTTCCACGTGGCGACAGCCTTAATGCCGTCGGAAAAAATGGTTTCTGATGCGGAAGACGATCGATTTGCATAGCTCCCAAATCTGTTTATGATGCCCCAATGTCGCCAAGAATACAAGTCCATGTGG